TATAGAAATCACCACATAATCTCTATGGTTTTTAAATTCATCGTTAACCATTTTAGAAAATCGACAATAACACTAGAGGATCAAAGTTATCACTTGAGATCTCAGCATGTGCATGTTGAGCTTCTTGTACTAGACCCACAATCATAACATTATCGTCCTTCTCAATCATCACCTACTTACCCTTGTCTTTTGACTGACGACTCGCAGATATAGGGTTTACTTGAGATTGAGCATGCCAATTCTCATGGAATCATCCAAATCTAGGGTTTAAAGATCCCCTAGAGTTCAGATCTCTAATCTTAAGGCTTTTAACTCCTCTCACCATAGATTCTCGCACTGGATCTACAATCTTCACCTCATCATGCTCCACCATTGGCTGTTTGGCCTTATCTTGAAACCGTTGTTCCATTTGTAATCAAGGAAATACCTGATCTTGCTATTTCCCATGGAAATTTCTAGATGTAGAGTTTGGGTTTTGAGCTCCTCTTCCCATTTGGTGCCCGATCTCCTAAAAGTTGTCTCTATTCATCACTGACTTTGAAAATGATGAGGCTCATACATCTCCAGCAGATCAAAAAATACCCATAGTATCTCACTTCGTGACCAACCTTTATTTTATTGCAACTTCTTGGTTGATGACACCAGCGTATGACCTTTAATCTCACAGTGAAAACATAGCCACCGTCGTCGAACTAACTCTAGCGACAAAGGAGATCTACATTGCTCTTGCCTCTTTGCCTCTTTGAAGAAACTATAACCCAGTATGGATCTCGAGCAGGAGGTCCAACTCTTCTTTTGTTAAGCACGATGCATCAACACTATTAGAAAAGCTGAGTAGTTTATTTCTTGTTTACCAATTTACTTTATCTTGTACCCTAAGTTTACTTGTACTTTAGGTCTGCTTGTAGCCCAAGTTTCCTTTCCTCTATTTAAAGAGGTGAAACATCCATAATAAAATTATCTCTTGGTTTCTTTTCTCTACATAATATCAGACCTTTGAAGATAGTACAACTCATCATGTTCATAGCACCCACCAATCATCTTCTTTGTGTGAAGATTCTGAAACACATAAGATGAAAGAGAAAATGTTATAGAGCAATTTAAAGATTTTGTCAAATGACTAACAACTATAAGATTAAAAGGAATATTTGGGACATAGTTCACGTTTGATAAAGTGAGGGGGTAGGTGTAACCGTGCCAGTGCTAAGAATAGTACGCGAGTGTCCATCAGCAAGTAAAATAGAAGGTGAATAATATGATCGTGAAAAGTTTGAAAAATGTGTGGATTTGCCCATAAGATGTGAAGAGGCTTTAGAATCAATAATCCACGAAGTAGAAGGTGCAGTAGTAAGACAAGTAATACTTAGATGGGCTAAAGTGGCAACTTTTGAAGTAGACACCGCTTGCACCTTCTGAAATATAGAATTATACTTTGACCTACTCATGGAAATATGCTCATCAGCTGAAGATGAATGGACTAGAAGATTCCTTCGCAACTGAGGCAGATGAGCCACCCTTATTACAGACATACGCCTTATGCAAAGATTGCGACCACTCTGGTTTGTTGTGAAGCTCACAGCATGTCTTACCATAGTGGTTTGTACGCTTACAATGAGTACAAAAGCGTGAGTCATTGTCTTGACCGTGACCACGTCCACCACGACCACCACGATCACACGACCACCACGATCAGTGCGTCCTCCACATCCTTCTTGAGGAATAACTCCACCATGATCGTGATAAGATTGTGAGGATCTAGCAGACGAGAAAAGTGTAGAAGTCTCGGCAATTGAGGGATGCAATGGGGTCTCCATAGTCTGAGAAAGGTGTGAGAATGCTCTATGAGAAGAGGGTAATCCGCGTTCTGACATTAAGAAGTGTCTTCATAGTGGTTTTAGGGTAGAGTTCAAACTAGACAATAATTTGCAAACAAAAAGTTCCTTCTGTTGTTTCTTTAAAGTCTAAAGATCTATAGTCAGGGGGTGATACTAGTTAGGGAGATCATGTATCCCCTTTAGCTGATTGTAATACTCCAAACTCTTTTCTCCCTGCTGAATACTGAAGAGCTCCTCATATGCATCAAATACTCTTGAGGCATTCTATTTTATAGAATAAGTGTCTTGGACAACTTCCCAGATCTCCTTTGTAGTATCTAGAAAAATAAAGTGTGCAGATATGTGTGGCTCCATGCTCCCTCATAGCCAAGTCATAACAATAGAGTTGTCTCATTCCTAGTCTTGATTAATCTTCTCAGCAGAGATTATCGCAATATCCTTGTCAGTAGTAGTAGCAGGTGCGGTGGGAATATATCCTTGTCAGTAGTAGTAGCAGCAAAGACGGGAATATTAGGTTTCGAGGACATGATCAACTTCAATTTTCCCTTAAGACTCAAGTAAACACGAACCGATTTCTCCCATATCAAATAGTTCTTGCTATTAAACTTTGTGGTGGTGATTTGTAAATGATCACATTCCTCCTTGGTAGTAGCCATGGGTGGTGGTGGTAGTAGTAGTGTAGAACAAGTGCAGATAGTCACAATAGTAGTAGAGTACCAAAAGGAAAAAAAAAATATTGCATGAAAGCAATCAGTTCAACTCACAGCAATGCAATTATTACTGAAAAAGGACGAAGAACAAACATGAAATCAGTGTTGTAAATAGCGGCCAATATTGGGGCTATAGCGGCGCGAATAGCGGTCACGGCCCTTCAGCGCTACGCGTAGGGGTTTCACGGCTGGCTTAAGCGGAAAAATCCGCTATTCATTCGAATAGCATGTAAAAGCGGATTTTAGCGGGTTAAAAGCGGGTTTTCGCGGTTAAAAGCGAATTTTCGCGGTTAAAAGCGGATTTTTGTTGTTAAAAGCGGCTAAACCCGCTAAACCCACTATCACACATATTATGATGCTATATTTCTTGAATTTCTTCATAGTTTCATTCATACAACAAGCTTATTAATTGTTATTTATTGATAATACAAGAAATTTACAACTAATTGAATTTTTAGATTTTTTATAAATTTTCTTATTATTTAGGATATTTAAATATATTTAAATTTGACCGCTATTTGACTGTGCGCTATTTGCCGCGATTTCGCCGCAATAGCCCGATATAGCCTTAGCGGTACCTCGCCGCGACGCGTCGCGATCCGCTATCAGCAACCTTGCATGAAATCAGTTCAACTCACAGCAATGCAATTATTACTGAAAAGGGACGAAGAACAAACATGAAGAGAGCACATGCATTGTAGAGATAACAAGGATGTAGTATTGTCATCGATCATGATTCTCTATCAGGCTATCCAGTTTGTCGAGATAGAACAAAACAATCAGGATGGTAGGAAGGATTTCGTCAGCGATCTCAAGATCTGGTTCCGCCTGCAAACTCTGGCCTGAGTCGAAGAGTTAAGGATTGGTTGAGATTGAGGGCTAGTCGAGGTCGACGGCTTGATGCTGCTGGAGTTGACGGCTAGCTGATGTTGAACTCTAGGATGTTTCCACAAACACCACTCATTCCTATATATGTACGGTGAAAATTAGCCCAAGAATTGGATGGTTCTTGGTCAACTTTGGACTCAGATCTTGAGGAATGTGCATTGGGATAAGGTCCAGTGGGTTTTGATTGTAAGTTGTTGGGCTTTAGAGAAGAGACTTGATCAGATATAAAAAAAGTTTGTGCAGATTTATTGGCCCCAAAATTAGAAGAAACCCTAGGCCCAGGAGGCTGAAAATCTAGCTAAAGCCCTTAATCTATCAGCATCTAATAAGAGCAAATATGTATTGGTCATCTAGTTTTCCATTAATAAATGAACCGATTGCTGTTCATCACATCAAAACCTAATGCAATTAGTGATTATATAGAGAAAAAGGTGATAGAAATGAAAATAATATCTTCCAATAAGAAGAAAATTAGAGCAGGTAAAATTTTGAAATCATAAATTAAAGGCATGTAATCACTACATACCATGACAATGCGGTTCTTCATAATATCTGATGTGATTCCTAAGCTGGCAGCTACTTACAACAATAGGAGGTTAGTTATGTCCCAAATTTATCGCCACTCACCCAATAAGGTCTGCACGGGAGCCAAACCAGCGATAACTGGCTAAAAATGAGATTTTGATTCTTGTCTTAATGAATAAATTTTTTAATTCTTAATTAAATAACGCCTACAAGTTTAGATGAAAAATCAGGATCTAATTATTTCTATCTAGATCCCATCACTGAATAATAAATCCAAAAGTGTGACCTATACAAATTTTATCTTAATTCTTCAAACTAGACGGCTTTATATTTTTCTTAAATCCAACAGAATCTCCAAACGTTGATGGTGGAAAAAAGTCCTCTTTCATTCTCATTGTCTTGCTTTTCTTACTTTGGTTTAATGTGTGAAGAATTATCTAGGTCTCAGGTATAAGACTTCATATTTATTCCAATAGATGGCTGAATACGATATGAACAATTTAACCTCCCCCATATATACTTAATGTAGGAGTACCATTAACTCTCTTACAGGTTTTTTATAATGCTCATAATGTGTAGGGGATGTAATGACCTCTCTATGCAACTAGATCCATTTTGAGCATCAATATATGCTGAGATTAAAAATGTGTGTAATTTTCTCTGATTAGAGCAAAACATGCAAAAAATATGTCTTTTAATGCTAGAGACTAAAAAATGTGTATTTTCTGTGGTTAGCCCAAAGGCAAAAATGCATGTCAGTTTTTAGTATCTATTCTCATATTTTTCTACGAGGGATACTTGTAGGTTTTTTTTAATGCTCAAAATGTGCTGGGCGTTCTGTGATTAGCACAACATAGATTAAAAAAGGCATGCCGGATTTTAGGATCAGTTTTCAAATTTAAGTGTGTATGCCTATGTTATTTTGTTCCTATTGTTTCTATGGACTTTTTCAGTATCTGATAATTCTGCATTTGTTAGCCAAGACATTTCGGTCTATTTTCATATAGTTCGCATTTTCAATACTGAGCCACTGCATTGTCAGGTGCTGTCAGATGATAAGAAAAGGTCTTTGTATGATCAATATGGTGAAGCTGGAGTTAAGAGTGCTGTAGGGGGTTCAGCTGGTTCATATACGGTAATTTATATTCTGTAATATTGTACCTGGTTCATGCTTCATCTGTTCTCTTAAAAAAGTTATATAGTACTATGTACTTGAACTAGTTAATATTCATGCATGGTTTTGCCAATGATAATTGCCCTTAACACTTGACCTGCATGGAACAATCAAAACGGTAAATCTGTTAATCTTTTGTGAATTGCTTCTATTTTGTTATTTACTATTTTCTTTTTTTTTTTGGCAGACTAATCCTTTTGACCTATTTGAGGCTTTCTTTGGTTCCAATATGGGTGGCTTCTCTGGTGTGGACCAGAGTTCATTTAGAACACGCAAGCGTGGTTCTGCTCTCAAGGGTGAAGATATTAGGTGGGTTTCAAATGCATTTCATTGAATGAAAAGAGTTAGGCCCGCTTGATTGATAGTTTTCTCTATGAACTGATATGCAGTTATCCACTTTGCACGTGCTTGTGTAAATAACTAAATTTGCATCACTTTTCTTAGCTTGCATGTTAATTTTGATAACTTCATTATTCATTTATGTTGGTTAATTAATATGATTACATCATCAACTACTACTTCAAATTTATCTCGCGAGCGTATTGGACTAGCGAAACATACATCGGAATCAGGCCATTCTACTGCTTCAATGTGTATTCTGGAAGTTGGTCGCTTAGAAATAACAATCTCTATTATCCATGTTTTATACGACTGCAAGTTTATAGATTCATGCAGACAGTTTTTCAGAAGTTATAAATGTTTTTGAACACTTACTAAACACACACCGAACATCTTGCTATTCAGAATTGTAATTTGCTATGTGAGGATGCATTTTTTTTAACTTTGTAATATTTCATCTTGCTCACATCAGTCCTTGTAGCAAATTTGTCATGCATTACACCTTTGTTATTCTCTTAGTCCAAGGGTGACTTCAAGAACGTCGAATTGGCCTACTAATTTCTGTAAAGCTGCATAAAAGCCCCTTGTTTTCCATAGTTTCCTTGGCGTAGAACTTGGTACCAAAATCAGAGGTTGACAAATGGTTCTAAATTTTTTCTTGTGTTCCAGAGCTTCATCAGCACTGCATGCTTGCTAATTTCTATGAGAATGACTTTGATGCATAACCAAGGGGGCAAAATATATCTCCAAAATATTTATACTTTTATTGACAATTTATGTTTTGTAGCCTGTGCTTGGAGATTAACAATGTAGTTGTTAACTTTTGGTGGCCCATAATACATTTGGAGAAAATTCAGTCCTCCTGAAATGTTCATGAGTTTAGCAAGTCAACCAGTTCAGAAATATGTGTTGATTCTAGATAAGAATATGTGTGTTTATGCAGATAGTAACGTATAGGAGAAGACAATTGTTTGCTTGGTCTACTCTGCAGAAAAAATCTCTCTTCAAGAAACTTGTACAATGTCAACTTTAGATATAATTAATTTGTCGCATGAATAGGTTTTCAATTTATCTATTTTCTATAAATAACCTTTGGCTTGTTTTACAGAAGATATTCTGCTACTAGTTTTATTAATTTTCCATGTTATGGACTTCAGGAACTTTCCACCTTTCCCTATAGATGATGATGCATGCATTCAAAGCTACATCTAATCTTATGTATTGCTTTGCTTGTGAAGTTGAGAACTTACACAAAAATGTTTTTTTCCCCAGATATGACATGATCTTGGAGTTTTCGGAGGCTATTTTTGGAGCTGAAAAAGAAATTGAGTTGTCTCATTTGGAAACTTGTGATGTGTGCATGGGTACTGGGTCAAAGGTTGGTTCCAAGATGAGAATATGTTCGACCTGTGGTGGAAGAGGTCAAGTAATGCGAACGGAGCAGACACCTTTTGGGTTGTTCTCCCAGGTATGAAAACTAGAATTTTTTTGTTAAATGAACTTCTGAGAACTAGATTTGTGCTTCAAAATGAACTTGGCTAGGTAACATTTGACAATCTTTTGCTTCCTTCGTTTAACATTTATTGCTTGCTACCATGAATATAATTTCCAGAAACCTTTGTAAGTTCTTGACATTGCAGTTAGTTTTGGTTAGTTAGCCAGTTACCTTAGGCATCTCTCTATTTGAAATCATGCTTAAAGATGCTAGATGAACGTTAGCCAGTTACCTTATGCATCTCCCTATTTGAAATCCTACTCAAGGACTCTAAAAGAGGCATCTAAGTTAATCAAATATCTTAGTCATGAATGGCTCAAATTTTTGATTTATGAGTCTCGCCCTTGGAACTTTTTCTATCAGGGTATAGTTGGTATTTAAGGTATAGCCTATCTTGTCGGCTAGTCATTTATTATACTGTCTTAAGATATCTGTCTTATTATTACATAGGATCTGCTTATGCCTTTCCATTTGGCCCTTTGGCATATGCAACGCCTTAAAGATGAATGCAGTTAGCCTTAGGTAAAAAAGATTATCATCTTCCCTCTTCTAAACTATTTGTATTCTAGGAGATTTTTCTGAGGTTGGTTCTTGCACAAGCTTAACATCTTGAACATATAAGGTAGAATCTTATTTACGTGTTCATCTTCTAAATGAATTCAATGACAAATTCTGCCCAAAAGTAGTAGTGGTTGCACATGATTTTCATGATTTATGCAGATTACTTGTGTAAATACTTCCTACCGTAGCTAGATTCTCTATCTTAGGGTGTTTCTCTATCAAAAGAAATCTTACTGTGGTTTCACACCAATTTTATGAGATTAGGATTTGTTTGACTCACCCAATGTTACAGAAGGTGCTAGGCGGCCTAGGTGTTCGAGCCGGAGGCGTACGCCTAGGCGGTGCCTAGGCGTTTGTCTATTTTTTAATTTATTTAATTATAATAATTCATAAAAATATGTATTAAGTTTATTAAAAAAAGAAGATTTAATAATTTTACCTGCGGCTGCTGTTGTGGGTGTGGAATAGCGGATTGTAGTTTGTGGGCCCATCTGCAGTGGAGAGATGCTGGAGGAGGTGGGCGGCGGGAGAGATCTGGAGGGCAAGAATTTGAGCGGGGTGTACTGTTTGGTTGCGGAGGGGAGGGGAGGTGGAGAGACGCGGGAGAGATGCGGAGGAGGGAAGGTTGCGGAGGTGGAGGATGAGTTGGAGATGGGGCGGCTTGGTTTTTTTTTTTTTTTTTTTTTTTTTGGGGGGGGAAGTAAATTTCCTAGGTTCAGCCGTTTGCTTAAGTAACGGGTTGGGTTTGGGTTTTGGGTTCGGGTTTTAGTATTTGGGCTTGATTGGGTTGGGTTTTTTTGGTTTTTTTTATTTTCTTTTCTAAAACTAGGCGGCCCGCCTAAGCGGACCGCCTAGCCCTAGGTGGGCCGCCTAGGCGGGCCGGCCGCTCTAGCCAAATCTAGGCAGAAATTGGTCCGCATCCGTCTAGCCGTCCACCTAGGCCGCTTTTTAAAACACTGGAGTCACCTGAACATGATGATAGGTAAAGGACCTTCTCACAGGTTCTACACAGTGCTATTTACTTTATCTGGAAATTTCAATCAAAAGTTTGCTGAATTCTAGTTGTAAGTTGTCTTCGTGCTATTTCTTTAGGTTGTTTGCTGGTAATGATTGCAGACACTGGTTCAATACAGATTACAGACAGATGCCCTGTTATTCTTGTATTTTGCGAAATTGGAGTATTGATTTGTACCAAGAACAGCGTTAAATGAAAGATTGTTAACAAGACATTATTATGAATTATTTTTGTATATTCCTATGACTATGATAGTGTTATTGGATAAAATGAAGGATAGATTGCCGAGAATGATGCATATTTCGTGGTGTTGGATTATGTTTTCTGCTCTAACATTATGCCTCTCATAGTTGTAATAACCAGACTTGCTGTTTTGATAATATAACTATTTTTCTGGCTCTTGAACAACTTCTATCCTTCTTTTGTCTATAGGTATCTGTATGTCCAACTTGTGTTGGTGAAGGTGAAATCATTTCCGAGTATTGTCGGAAGTGTGCTGGTGAAGGGAGAATTCGTGTCAAAAAAGATATTAAAGTGAAAATACCTCCTGGTGTTAGTAAAGGGAGCACACTTCGTGTTCGGGGTGAAGGTGATGCTGGACCTAAAGGGTATGTTAGTAACTTGAAAATTCGCAAGTACTTAACTTGAGTTCTGTTTCTATAAATTTAAAAGATGCAGTTATCTCTGCTACATATCAAAATATATACACACTCAAGTTTGAGTTCAGTTAGGCTTTTCTTAATTTCTCTCATAGCATCCTTGTTATATTCATGTGTTTAGAAATTTCTCTTATCAGTCATTTTTAAATAAAAACTGTCTACAAATAATTCTTTGCATCAGCTTGTCCTTATCATTCATTGAATTAGCATGAAAGGTGTATCTTGGTCATGTTTATCTAGTCCTTTACAGGCTTAGTACATTTCAACTTTCATTTTTGTTCTCAACCAATACAGTTTGCAAAGCTACTTCGTATGTTTGTCCTGCTTAATTTTAGATGGTGCTGCCACTTGTTTCCTATATTAAAGTTTAACAGTTGGTAAAAAGTAAATTGCATCTCTTTCATGGTTAAGAAGATATCTGCATTCTTTCCTTCAGTAAAATCATTGTGTCCTTATGATCTTATTATTGTACATAATTTAGATATTTGATTCTAATACTAACTATTGATCACTTCATATTCATTTAAAACACTTCTCATGGTTTTGATGCTAGGGGACCTCCAGGAGATCTTTATGTGTGCCTTGAGGTGGAAGAGATACCAGAGATACAAAGAGATGGCATCAATTTACGTTCAACTGTTTCCATAGACTACATTGAAGCGATCTTGGGTTCGGTTGTTAAGGTGAAATGCTGACTTCTCCTTTTCTTTCTTCACTTGTATACATGGAAAATCTGAACCAGCCCATCCTTCAACATGGTTTATTGTTTCATACCTATCACTGCAGTTGCTAGAGTTCTTGACACATAAGCTTTAAGTGGTACAATGAAGGCCATCTATCACTCCATAGATTTGTAACTTCCATCCTTTTAATTTGACAAACAAATGTCTTAATTGTACACTGAAACTGCAGGAGTGATATCATAGCATAATTGTGCACCCTTTAATTTAAAATCGTACCAGCAGTCTTTTTTGTAAGAATTGTCAATTGAATACATGCATGTTATTTTAGGCTTAATTGCAGATAAATACCCTATAGTTTCACAAAAAAGCACTTGTATACCCTAAGTTACAACACACAGCAAATATATATGCTGACTTGTGAAAAATGTGCAGGTTGCTACCTTCTGTTAACCAGCAGTGGGAATATTTTTTTAAATATTCCCACGTGCTAGTCACATGTCTATTTTAAATGCCATTTACCCTCATTGATTGTATTAATTACAACTTTACCTGATATGGGGGGTTATTTTCAAAGAAAGCAATCTCGTCCTTTTCGGTAAATTTTAACTGTGTTTATCAAATTCAGACGGTGGATAACTCATGGTATATATTTGCTCCGTTATGCAACTTAGTGTATGTAAGTGATTTTATGTGAAACTATAGGGTATTTATGTGCAAAGAAGCCTATTTTTAATAAACATCTTCCTGGGGTGACAATTTTAAGGTAATTTCCCATACAATGACTTCATTTCATCAATCCATATGCAGTTAAGCCTTGCACTTTTAAGAGGGAAGCTCCCTCCTTTTACCAAATTGCTTACTTTAATTTATTTGCAGTTGATAGTTTTTCCATGGAAAAAAGCTCTTTGATGACAAAGTTCACATATGGGAGTCAACTCTAGTTTTCAGTCCCTCTCTGTCTAATTCCAATTGTCACTTTAAGTTTTTTTATGTTGTAATCCTATTGATTTTTATTTGTTGCAAAAGCTTGAATTAAACAGGTGAAGACAGTTGATGGATCTAGTGAACTTCAAATACCACCTGGTACTCAACCTGGGGACGTGGTTGTTCTAGCAAAGCGAGGTGTCCCGAAACTAAACAAGCCATCTATACGTGGTGATCATTTGTTCACTATTAAGGTCTCTATACCAAAACGTATCAGGTGTGCTACAGATCGTCCCATTGCCAAATATCAAACATTGGGTTCTTTTAATATTAGTCCTTGATATCTTTAGTATTTAAAAATCAGTCCCTCTAATCACTGAAATTGCTATTAGATCCTTCAATTCCTTTGCATCGAAATTAGTACCTCAAATCATTGAAGTTGCTATTAGATTCCTCTATCCTTTTAAGTTGTTTCGAATTGACCTCTCTGATCAAGATTGGCAGTCGCAAGTTATAAGAATTGGGGACCTTATCGCAATTTCAATAATTTGAGGGACTAATTGCAAAAATTAAATATTAAGGGACTAATAAACATATTAGTTGCTTTGAAGTCTATGATTGGTAAACATATTAGTTTCTCTTAATTTGAATGATATTTGTTGAAACTTTAGCTTCTACCTTGATAATTTCGTCCAACTTGAAATATCCTACTTGTGATAGCCCATCAAAGTTCTTCTCTTAATTTTGTTTCCCCTTACTTCCTCCTGCAGTGGAAAAGAACGTGAACTTCTTGAAGAACTTGCATATTTGAACGATAAGTCAGTGACACGCGTACGTCCTCGTCACAACACCGAACCACAAAGTAAGAACCTGTGCCCCGTAATTTAGGATAATGCATTATTCCTAGTAACTTATATGCCCCTCTTGACTTAGCACTAGTGTATCGTGAAAAGAATTCACCAATGGGTACAGTGATTATTCCCAGTTGTCTGATTGTGTTATATTCTGTTTTTTCTGCAGTTAAAAGAGCAGAAAGTCAAACGAACGTCGAGAAAGAAGATCCTGAAAAGCCTAAGGAAGAAAATGACTTGTGGAAGCAGCTAAAAGACTTGGCTGGGTAAATACTGATCTATAGAACATTTTGAACTACTTTTTGAAGAAACCAGTTAGTAAATTCTGATTTCTGAAGTACTTTTGTTAGTCATTTGAAAGTTACTAGTATGCTGTTAAGAGTGCTGGATCAATGAGTGATGGTTATTTTTGCAGGTCTGCTGCAAACGGAGTGCTGAAATGGCTTAACGACAACCTTTGATTCAAGATTAAGATTCTCGCAATTTTTGATCATATCATTCTGTGCAATTGGGCCAACAATTCTTTTTTTTTTTTTTTTTTGAACTTTTCCCATTCTTATTGCAATTAGGCCAGATGCCTAATTTCGTAGGGTGTTTCTTTATATGCTCTTGTAAAATTAGTTATACATAAAAGCAGTGTGTATGTGCTTTGGCAGAGGAAATTAAAAAAAAATCAAAATTTTCAGGCTCTCTGTGAATATAAGCAAATGTATGATGTTTTCCAAGGAAGCGAAAGGTAATCTTTTTCATGCTACTACAACCAAGAACGCAGGGAGAAGTACCAAGCATCCCTTCGCTCTTGCCAAGTACATTCTCTTCGTTCTACTGCTTAGTTTGATGAGGAGGGAAGGTGAGGCGAGGCTATAGACACAATATGGATTTGTGTTTGGTAGGAAGTTTTCAGTGAGGTGAGGTAGGGGTAACAGAAGGATAATCTAAAATGAATTAAAAAGCCTAAAACAAATTAAAAAGTCGGTGAAAAATTCCTCCAAATTAGAAGGACAAAAGGACTCAAGTCAAGAGAAGAATCTCCCTTTTTCTGTCCTCCAAATATGAAGGTTTTAAAAGGATTTATATCGCTTCATCTCATTGTACCTTTCCTCACGAACATCTTCCCTCCAACCAAATAATTTTTAAGTGCTTAGTTCACGTTGATTGTCAAATATTCATTTATATGTGTGTAAGTGTATATACGCACACATGCATACATACATACATTTAAGACCAATAAATTTTTAGTCTGTAGTTCACAGTACCAAACCCATAGCTCAATATATGTATCTATGGCAAATTTCAAGAGACGAACAACGCTACTAACATGCTTTGGATCCACCGCGCTACTCTCATCCCCTTTAAGAGCATGGGCAGCGAGCTCTCATCTCCGCTCTCAAGTCCGACGTGGCCTCGGTCTCCGAAAAATCCCCTTCCAACAGCCTCCGAAGCCCTCCCAAGCTTCGCTCTCAGGTCCGACGTGGCGGCCACCAGCTTCGGAGCTCCCAAGCGCTCCACAAATTTGTGGACCGCTTGGGAGCTCCCAACTGGTCTGAATTTAACAAAAAACCCCCCAACAAGTAATCTTCGCACATGAGCACAAAATTGAAGTAAAAATCGAACCTTTTTATGGCGAATCGATGAGATCGGCGGCGACGGACTTCAGCTTCGCGGGCGGCTGGTCTGTACTCCGATGGGCGGCGGTGGTTGAGTCTCCGAGGCCGCGGGTTGGGGAGCCAGAGATCCGAAGGACGGCGGTGGTTCAGTCTCTGGGTTCGTGGGTTTTTGAAGTCTGGTTTGGGTTGGGGAGAAGAAGAATAAGCATGGGTTTGGGGGGAAATGAAGAGGTTTTGGTTTGGGGGAAAATTCGTGGAGAAGAAGAAGAGGCACGGGTTTTTGAAGTCTGGTTCGGTGTTTTTGACGAAGATTTTTTTTGTATTGTGTTTTATCTGTTGGACAACTGAGTGAAAAAATGAACGTTTGAGTGAAAATATGATCGTTTGAGTGAAAAAAAAGTACCGTTGTGTAAAAAATGAAACGTTGAGCGAAAAAATTCTTACCGTTGAGTGAAAATGACAGGAGCTCTATTTTATTGCTGTTCAACAGTTAAAAAAACCTCTATAAATTCACAATTCACATTCCACAATTCACAATCCACACAACTCTCTCATAAAAAAAAATCTATATTTCCCTATCAAATTACAAATCTCATGGATCCCTCCCAAAACTTTTATTCAGACCTCCTTACCGGTGAAGGATCGACCTTATACCCGCCGTTCTATACAGAAGTCGTAGAAGAAGGTAACCCCATCGAGTTATCGCAATCTGCAACACAACAAGTGTCATCCCAAGAAACACCGACCACAAAGAAGAAGAAGGCTTACACGCGGTCCGAAAATTGGACTGTCCACGAGGATAAGCTTCTTGTGTCTGCTTGGCTGAACACGAGCCAAGACGCCATCCAAGGTACGGGGCAACACAAAGATAAGTTTTGGCACCGAGCTAACGACTATTTTATCCTATACTCCACCGATCCAACGAGCCGCACGCCAAACCAAATGATGCATCGTTGGTCAACGATTCAATTGTCCGTCAACAAATTTTGTGGGTGCGTTGCTCAGATTGAAGGAAGACAAAGATCTGGTACGGGAATTATTGACCAGGTAAATATTTAATTATGTTTGATTATGTTTGCTCAGATTCAATATGTTTAATTATGTTTGATTATTCTAAAATTAACTCTTGTGTAGACTGCAGAAGTAAAAGAATTATACCAATCTCTTTATGGTAAACCATTTGTGTTTGACCATTGCTGGGTTGAGTTGCGTCATCACCAAAGACAAAGTCAGCCCAGCCCAGCCCAGGCCAAGCTGTGTGTCTTCTTCCTCACCTTAAACCCTAAAAAAAATCTCTCTCCCCACCCCAAACCCTCAAGAGATCCAACAGAAATAGGAAAGGAGGAGGAGGAGAAGGGGCCTTCATCGTCTTCATCGGCTCAGCCCAGCAAAATCCGAAGGAAAATTAAAATGGGTAAGCTCCTCCCATGCATGCCCAGGCCCCTCCCCCTCCCCTCCTCAAACGCCCTCAGCAGCCTCATAGCCTCCGTCTCCTCAGCGCCCCAACCAAACCCACCTCAAGACCAAAATCCCAAAAACCCCAGAGAACGAAACCCCAAACCCCAGAAGCCCCCCCGGCCGAGCCACCCCCAACAGGCAGCCCCCAAACCCCTTCACCTCCCCTTCCCTCCCTCCGCCATCTCCGCCCTCGACTCCATCCCCGCCTCCTCCTCCTCCGCCGGCGGCAGCAGCCGCCACCTCCCTCCTCCAGTCCTACTCTCGCCACCCCGCCCCTCCCCCGCCGACGCCCTCGCCTTCTCCGCCCGCGTCGGGGCCCGCTCCGCCCCGCCCTCCACTCCCTCCTCGCCGCACTCCTGCTCCCACCCCCTCCCGCCCCCCCTCCCCGTCCTCTCCCTGATGTCCTCCCCTCGCTCCCCCCCGACCGCCTCCTCCGCCGACGTCGCCGCCCGCTCCCTCCTCTCCTCGGGCCACCCGCCTCGGCAGTCGCCCTCCTCCTCGACTTCCCGTGGCCCGCCCGACCACTTCACCTAACAACCACCTCATCGCCGCCTCGCCAGGTCCCGCCCCATCACCTCCGTCTACCACGTCGTCGACTCCTTCAAGACCAAGCGCAACATCCACCCCAACCTGGTCACCTTCACCATCCTCATCGACTCGGTCTGTCGCTCCAAGAACCTGCGAGAGGCCACGAGGCTCCTAGGGGTCCTAAAGGAGTGCGGGTTCAAGCCCGACTGCTACCTCTACAACACCATCATGAAGGGGTACTGCGTGCTGGACGCAGTGCGGGGAGGTGATGGAGGTTTATAACAAGATGAAGGATGAGGGGATTGAGCCCGGACTTGGTCACGTACAACACGCTGGTCTACGGGCTTTCGAAGGCGGGGATGGTCGAGCAGGCGACAAAGTTCTTGAACGTGATGGCTTGTACGGGGCAGTTTCCCGACACCGTGACCTACACGTCGTTGATGAATGGGATGTGTCGGAAGGGGGATGCATTGGGGCGGTTAAACTGTTGGAGGTGATGGAGGATAGAGGGTGCACTCCCAACGAGTGCACGTATAATACGTTGTTGATGGGATTGTGCAAGGCCAAGTGTTTGGAGAAGGGGATGGAGTTGTATGAGGTGATGAAGGAGGGAGGGATGAAGCTTGAGGGTGGGGCTTACGCGACGTTTGTGAGGGCGTTGTGCAGGGCGAATAAGGTGGCGGAGGCGTATGGGGTGTTTGACTATGTGATCGAGAGCAAGAGCTTGAGTGAGGTGAAGGCTTACTTGGCGTTGGAGAGCTCCGTTAAGGGGGTGAAGAGAGCTAGTGCATCGTAAGTCTTGGTAAGTTCGCTATTGTTGGGCTTATTGAAGATGCGTCGACATGGTTAGCATCAAGCCGTTCATTGTCCCCAGACCTTTTTATTAGCACTTGGACCACCCTGATGTTCATCTGGGACTATTTCTCTGTCATCTGCATCTATTGTGTGGGTGTTAAGTGATGTCAACGCGATGCGGAGGGTGGCTTATATTTGAGATTGCTGCAAGGAGAGACTAATTCTCTTCTAGGTGCTTAAACGACTGCAGGGTCATATACCAGAGATAGAAGTGCTAATAAAAAGGTTCAGGGAATATGGTATATGTAACCTCGGTTATTATAGAATTCAACAGGTTTTTTGTATGATTTTTTTTAATAGCTTGCTTGTGGACAATGTGTTGTCTGTCAGTATAGTTTATTCTTTACGTAGGAGTGCAAATGATTATGGATTTATTAAGTCTGCACTGAAATTGTGTCCCTTATCAGTGTGATCCTTTATGTCATAAGGGAAACGTTGGAAGTGAGAAAACATGATACTTCACCTGTGATGATGGTTGAAAGAAAAGAACTTTTTTATAATTGCTCAGATTTTGATAGATCGTTGGCTTAGTTTTCACTTTGTTATCCGAAGTTTTGCCCATTTTTTATCTTTGATACTGAAAAATATTTGACACTTTTGACACTCCAAAGTTTCAATACCATTTCACTTTGATACCCTCGTCTAGACTCTGTTTCATTTTTTTTGTTAGAACTTAGCATTGCATCACATGCTTATGATGATGGTCAGTGTCACTTGGCTTTTGTCAATCTACTCCATTCCTTTAGGTAAATTGCACCCCTTTCATGAAAAATAATTTCCACCTGCATATTTGTCAGTATTGTTTTTTAGCATGATGAGCTCTTATCCTGGTTATACTTTGTGCTATTCTAGTGTGTTGGGGTAGGCGGAATTATTTTTCATCGGGGGGTACGTTGACCTAGTAAACATGTGATACAATTTGAACAGAAAAATGTAACGAAATCTGACCGGAGTCAAATAATATTTAAACTTTGTGGTACAAGGTGCCAAATTAAAACTCTGGGGTGTCAAATTTAGAAAACGTGAAAGCTTTGGAGTACAAAGTGAAAAGAAACCTAGATCTTTTGAAGGCTAATCTTGATGGTGCCTGGAACTGAAATAAATTAACGGAACTACATTAATTGTCATGAAACTGATATTCATACTTCTTTCACAATCTTACATCTGGACTGCAATAGATGCAGCAAAACAACATGAGATCAAGGACATTATGCCATTTTATGTTTCAAGTTTAGCATGTATCCTGCCCTGCATTGATCCATTTAGATCGAAAAATGTATGTCTATTGGTAATTTGAAATTGAACCATTTGGATCCAGAACTCCTCATTCATGATTCTTGCTTAGTTTTTAATTATATATGTGGAATTTGATGGGTTTTTATTTTTTTTATGATTGTTGATTTATAGCATTTTATAGCATGTCTGTGACAATGTGTTGTTTTAGATGGTTAGGTTGTTCTCTTGTATCATAAGGAAATTGGTGGAACTTACAACAATAGATTGCTTCTATTGGCTGTTCATCGTCTACTAAACTTTCGATACTGGTTGAAATAAAAGAGCTCTTTGTAATTGTTTTATTTCCGTAGATTTTTCAAATGCCGACCTTGATGATGCTGGAACTAAAATAAGGTAAATTGGTAGGACGATATAGACAAATAGAATTGTATTGATTATGCTGAGATTGGTGTTCATAATACTTTCACAATCTTACATCTGGACTGTCAATAGTTGCAGCAAAACAACATGAGATCAAGGACATATATATCCCCCTGCCATTATACGTTTGAAGTTGAGCATGTATTGAACCCTGCAACATTATGTTGGAATTAATCCATTTAGATTAAAAAACGTATGTCTTCTGGTAATTTGAAATTGCACCATTTGGATTGAAAACTTCTCATTCATGATTCTTGCTTAGTTTTATATTATATGTGGAGTTTGATGGTTTTTTCTAATGATTGTTGATTTATAGCATGTCTGTGACAATGTGTTGTTTGACATGGTTAGCTTTTTCTCGTGTCATAAGGAAATTTGTGGGAATTACAGCAAGTAAATTGCTTCTATTGTCTATCAATATCTTGGGATACTGGTTGAAATAAAAGAGCTCTTTGTAATTGCTCTATTTCCATAGATTTTCAAATGCGGACCTTGATGATGCTGAATCTGGAATAAGTTAAATTGGTAGGACGAGATAGACAAATAGAATTATATCGATTATGCTGAGATTGACGTTCATAATACTTTCCCTTTCTTACATTTATGTTCATCATGGATGCAGGAAACAGAAAGAGATGAAGGATGTATATCGCACCCTCGACTGTTATGTTTGAAAATTGAACCATTTGGATCGAAAAGTTACAGCCAAAGTCGCCTATTTCATGTCTATGGGCTTGTTCAGTTTATTGACAATAAATTCAGAGGACAGGTAATGATCTATCATCTCGAAGGCACTCTTCACAAAGAAGTGGAATGTGATGGAGAACTGGAGGTTTCAATTACTGAAGATCTGAAGATAGCGCAAATACATAGTGCTTTGCGTTTTACTGTTCGCTGCAAAATTGGAAGCTGTGTAGTGAAGGTGGAAGACTAGTGGAAGGAATTAGAGGTGAAGATGTAACCGCGGAGCTTTAGAATGCTTCAGGAGGTTGATCGAAAAGTGCACCTCTTTGTTCAACACCCTTTTGTTAAAAATTTACTCATTGCTTTTCATTAGACGCAATAAAATATCCTACTTGTAATTGAGCATGAATACTGTACTATTTTTTTTCGGTATATTAATCCGTTCTGATAAAGTTTCAAGTAGCATTTGAGTGCCAATTTTGTATGTTCATTTTGCTCTGAGATACTCTTCTCATGTCATTAGTTTGTCTTTTGGAACTTATTTGCTTTTACATGCTTTTCTGAACTTTTACTCTTCTACATACGCTTGAACACCAGGATCGCACTCTGACTGTATCATGGTCCCCTTGACTGAACTGTGGGGATTAAAGAGATGCAATGTACTTTCATAAATTTTAGAGTTCAAAAAATCAAATGTGAAGCCCAAAACTTTAGGAAATTTTTAGTTTGATGCCTCAAACCTTAACAAAAATTAAAAATTAAAAATAAACTTAGTTATCAAAATTTATATTTATTAAATTTTGGGGTATTTTTTGGGCAAAAGAAAAATATTATTTTGGGGGCGAAAAAAGAGATTTTGCATATGTATACCCCTCATATTTTTCATATTTGCAATATTACCCCTAAAATCTTGATATTTGCAAAATTACATTCAATTCCCTCTTATTAGATTTTTCTTTTTTTCCTTTTTTTAAACTACTCAACTTAATAATGAACTAGGCAATGTAAAAAAAACTAAAATAATTAAGTGGGAGGTGTATAAAAACTTAATTCCAAAAAAAATTGTTTTTTTGCGCGCGGGGTGGGGGGAGTGGGGAAGTTTCGGGTATGTGCCTAAATATCAAGATTTGATGGTAAGATTACAAATAAGAAAGATTTGAATTGTATGCATACAAGAACCCCAAAAAACAAACTCGAGGGTATCAAAGTCAAGAATGAGTTAAACCTCAGGGTGTTCAACTGCGAATAACCTATAATTCCCCCGTTACATGATAGGGGTGAGCATAGTTCGGTTCAAACCAAACAAACCGATCGAACCGGCCAAAATTTAACAGTTCGGTTCGGTTTTTATTAGAGTTTGGTTCGGGTTGAAGTTTTTTCAACCCGAACCGACCGAATTATATTACTCATTCTAATTATTATTTACATTCGCTTAAACCCGACCCATTATAATTCATATAGAGTTACTTCTCTACAGGTTGATATAATTTTCTCTCACGCAACCTAATAGCGATAAAATACCCCAACATTAGTGTCCTCTCCAATTCTAGGTTTTTTTTCATTATCTCCCGTTCTCTATCACTCTCTATTATATATTCGTTCTTCTACCTTGGACCAATCCACTTTGGAGGTAAGAAACTTTAACCATAATGTTGATTCTAACATTTTCTTGATTTTTCTCCTCGATTGATACATGTTTGGATCAAACTTCTTTTTGGATCAGACTTATAATTGTATAGAAACTATATCCAACGTCTAAGTTATTACATATTTTTATTTACTTTGTCTATCAGATTGAGATCACTCTAATTGTTTTTGTAAGTTTTCTCTAAAAAAAATTATGTAATCTTTGGTAGAAATAAGACTTTGATTTCTGCATCTAATATTCAGTAGCATTTAATAGTTTATGAATTTTAAATAAATTAAAATGTAAGAGACTTTTTTTTTCTTCGTCAACAACAGATTAGAAGTAAAATTGAATTTGGAGATGACATTTTTATCTGAGTTAAAACCGAACAAATTGGCCCTACTTACATCGGTCACTCACTGGAGAGTTCAAAAGGGTTGCGCGTACACAAAATAATAATAATAATAATAATAAACGGCAAATGGGGAACGCAGGGAACCCATCGACGCGATCCCTGCCGACGAGGTCCGCTCACCGCAACGACCGGAAGCGTGCCTGCTAAGAGCCCGCCACCGCGGTCGGTCATCTACTGCCCTCAAGCACAGCACTTCTCTACGTTCAAATGCGCCGGCTCAGAAACCCAGCAAAACCCAGAGCCTAGAAGCCCAGCCCGGCGAAGTCGGGGCCTTGCGCAAATCCCTCCGCCATTACAAGCCGATGCAGTCCGACTCGCCGTCCCCCTCCACGCGTGCAGCGCAACACCGGCACTTTCCGGAGGCCTCACGCAACAAACCCGCGGTCAAAACCACTCCTTGCCGCTTGCACTTCCAAATGGTGGATCAGAGTGGCGTTGGAGTTGGGAATCTCATTTTACAGGAGTTTCCCTCAGCAAAGGGCCGAGGTTTGGGCGGTCAAGGAGACAGGGGGAGGTAAAGCTGGCTGGATGTCAGTCGATTTAGGGGAGAGGAGGGCGTATACGGTTGCCGCTCTTGGTGCGCCTGGGAGCGAAGGGGGAGGGGGAGGAGGAGGAGAAGGGGAAGGAGGAGGAGGAGAAGGGGGTTAGGGTCTACGAGAGGCAGTTGCACGAGGGGTTTCGGTTGGTTCAGACCTACGAGAGCAAGAAGATGGGGGCTTTCAAGTTTAGGGTTTCGGCCGAGAGGGTTGAGGGAGGTGAAGGGGATAAGCAGCTGTGGAAGGTAATGTGGGACTGAATGGCCTCTTTTTTTTCTCGCAATTACGATATTGAAAATGTTGATTTTAATGTTTCTGATTAGACTTACTAGACTGATAACAGTTTGCAGAGGTTGTGTACATTTTTGATGTTTAGGTAGCTATTCTCTGCGTAGCTATGTTTCGGTCGATTGTTCTATTAGTAGTTGAAAGTTCTATATGCATTCCGTGAAGGTAATAGCTCGAAAGCTTATCCGCATGATTTATAGGAGGATAGCTGAATAAGATCTGAATCGAGCAACTGCGATATTATTTTGATTCGTAAGTAGGTTAGCCTAACTTTCTTGTTAGGTTCTTGTCGATTTTCTTGTGTTTTCTTCGTAGGGTGGATGAGTTGGATTGGATGACCTTTGGCTAGCAGTTCTAATGCATGTACACTTGAAAATGTCTTATAACGTTCTTTGTGTTTTTCGCATTGTGTTACAAATCGGTTGAGTTTAGCAGTGCTCTTCTACCCTAGATAGAGTTTGCTTTTCCTCTTCCTTTTTTTTCAGTTTAAAGTATATACATGTCCTTTTCCTGTAAAGTTAATCGTAGTCCATTCTCTTGTAATCTCTAATTTAACTTAATTTTGAGGGTTTGATTACATAGTTGATTTTTGTCTCTGAATAAGTATTATATTCTTAGGAGCTAGTGTTATGGTTGTGATATCATTTAATCATGCATGCCTATTGGTAAGTGATAACTTATGTTATATTGGTTGCTCGAATTTCAAATTTAGTTAGTGACAATGGTTACCATGGTTAACATTTTCCTGGTCCAGTTCCTTTCGACTTACAACCCCCGGTGCCTTTTGCCCATCGAGTTATTGGTTAGAAAGCTGTACATGGACAATTGTCATATGTGTTTCGGCTCCTACCAGAATGCCTAGTGGGTGTGTTATAGTTTCTATTAGACACTTAAAGATGGGTTGAACTGCTGCAGTGAGTATTTTTAAGTGAAGCAGGGCTCGGGCTGGAATCATCATGAATTGTAACTTAAGCGGATCAATTAGCAAGGATGTTAGAGGAGGGAGGTGATGATTTGGTGATTTCTCGTGGGTTCTAGCTGAAAGAGTTGAGTGGTTGAAGGTGATAAGAATCCACCTCTTTCTTTTCTTTTTGTTTCCCTTTTTTCCTTCTTATTTTGTGTATTTTTTTGTGGGAGGGTTAATGAAGAAAATTTTCATTCACCAACTCAACGTTATATGTACATCAATAAACTCAAGCATACCTGAGCATTCACAACTTAACATATTAGAACTGCAAACAACATAAACAAAACTCGAATTACCATTATTCCCCTCTTTGTACTTATCTGGAATTGGGTTGTTGTATATAACTGAAAGAATAGAAGCTTGGATAATCTTTTAATACACATAATTATGTCAAGTGATACTGTATTGTATTTTTGCATCTATTGCCATGAATGAATATACAGTCTATTTGAACATTTTCTTACCGAGTGCTAAACTTCATCAGTATAGATCTCAATTTGTTTTTTGTTTTTGTTTTTTTTCTTTGTTATAAATTGTTATCTGTATGCTTCACACAATTGTTGCTTGCATAGCAGAATGTGTTTTTGAGCTTTCTGCTAGTAAGTTCTATCCTCTTTTTTTCCCTTTCTTTTGGAGGTAGAGATGCTACGAATTCTCCTCCCTTGTAAAGCTTTATGTGGTTCTCTAAAGAAATCTAATTTTGGAAAATATCTTTAGGCCACGGTCATATTGTGAGTAATTTTTTTACTTGTAAAGCTTGTACATGAGAGTGCTGTGGTTAGTAGAGCTTTGTATGGTTCTGTAAAAAAATCTAATTTTGAATTTTTCTTGTGGTCTTGGTCTTATGGTTAATTTTCTCCAGCACTCAGGACCTGTCACCGTTTCTGCAGCATAGATGTGAGTTGATATAAATATGAAAGATGAAAACTGTGTGATTACCATACCCACATGAAATTTCCTGTGCCTTTTCTATCTATATTGTGCGTGTGAGCTGGTAAGTGGGTGGGTGGAACGTGTGGGTGTGTCGAAGTACTCGTGTGTGGATGCCACGCTTTTGTTTTGTGCCCGTGCCCACCGTGCACAGGATGTGTATATCTATATCTATACTACTATACTAAAAACCAATTAAGGGTAGTGCAAAGTTGGATGACTGATGGACAAGTCCTTCTATTCAATTGTAATTGAAAGCGCAAAGTTTGTTTTCTTCACATTTTATGTTACAAAAAAGCAGAGCTCTATGCATATATCTATACCATAATTTATTTATGAGATAAATAGGTATCAAATGTCATAGGAGGGAATTAGGATATGGCTTACCCTCATCATAATTCCCTCCTCATATACAATGATGTAGCCTAATGGCGCAGACATAAAAACAGGGAGGCCGATCGGATATCGTTCCGATGCTGACGAGCTTTGACAATAGCAGGTAATTCACGAGCTTGAATCCATAAGCTCTAAGTTTCTCAAAGTTGAGAATGTAAACAAGGAGAAAAATTCTCTTGATTGAATAATTGAAAAGTTAATTGATAATTTACAAAAGGAACTAATATTTATAGCCAACTAATCCTATCCTAACTCTAATAAAAAAGAAACCCTAATTCTAAAAGGAAAATACCAAATCCCAAA